CCACGATTGAGATAAAATCATTAAGTCTTTGATGTTGCCTTTAAGTAATATGTACCCCATCCTACATTTTTGAAGAAACGACAGTCAACCTTCCCTTGAAGGTTTGTACTCAAATTGCTACAGTAAATTAAAGGTCAGGAACCAGGGCGAAAACCAAGGTGGTTTCTTGCACTGGACGCACCCTTACCGCTAGCTAACCCTGCCGCTGGGATACATGATTCTGTGCGCAGCGAAACGTACTAGTACGGTACGCTGACCGGCACAGGCACTGTTTGCTTGGAAGCGGACGCCACAACCTTCGCAAGGATAAGCTGGTCCATCTCCAGCTCGAGCTCGGGTCACACCAGGGTACTAGCTAGCACTGTAGATCATCACCAGCAGCATTCGAGGGTCTTCCCTGAGCTCTTACCGGTTACCGATATTAGGCTCTTTCCTGCCTGAAGTTGTTATTGCGAGAAAGTACATAACGATACTGATTGGCTGGTACTTTTAAACTTGCTGATTAGGCGTAGGATTCGTCCAGGTGTTTTGGCTTCTAAAAGGGGAAGTACCATGTACTCGAGTAGGTCTACGTATTAATACCTTAAAAAAAAATTCTCTGCGGTCACTTGAGTTCTTCAACGACCAAACTTCGTCCAGGGACATTTTTTGGGCTGAAGCTTCTTCATTCTTTCCCTCTCCTCCATCAAACAACCTCTCACACTCCAGCTTGGTTTCTCACTCTAACTGACATCAACTGACATCGACTGAAACCAAGCGAACCTGTTATTATTGTTGACCATGACAGTTGCAGTAGAAGGAGAGTTTCTCGACGGCGCCTCCACCTTTGAAGGGAAGGAGCCTAGCTGTGTCGACACCGACAGCCTGTCGGACAATGAGAGCAACAGTAATGAACGACATCAAGAGAAACATAAAAAGGACGTTTGTGACAACAAACGAACTGGCAACAGCCTGGATGCTGCGAGCGAGCATCGGCCTCGACCCAATCGAAGAGATATGCTTCGAAAAAAGCCAAAAGGGGATGGTCTTGCTAGAGGAAGCGACTATGGCCCGCCTAGACGTCCCAAAAGAACTGGCGATAAGGAAGGCGAGGATAGCCTGGATAGAGCCAGTGATCACAGCAAGAGTGGATCTCGTGGACGAGGTCTACCACAGAGAACCCGTAGCGCCAAATCATCCCGCTCACCCGCTCGGCCAATGACAATTGCAAGAACATCCAGCAATTCTGGGTCTCGTGAAGTTCGGGCGCTTCCCGAGAGATCTCTCAGTAATCGGCGTATCCGCAGATCCAGCAGCGCCAAGAGCGAAGATCAGTTGAATCGTCGAAAGCAGACGGGCCCGGACGTGGATGAACAAGAGTTCGCCAAGACCGTCAGTCGCGATTCTACACCAAGAGACTCCGGAGGTGATCTTGCCAGTGACGGCGGCGACGAGGTACTAGTAGAAAAGTGTCCAAGCCGCGGCAAGAGGGGCGGCGAGGGCGAAAAGTGCCCAAGTCGCCAGGGAAGCAAGAGAGATCTTCGCTCTCGTGGCCAATCCAAGCGATCAGGGTCCAGGCGTAACTTGCTCAAAACAACTAGCATTGACTTGGATGACGAAGAGTTTGTCGAGGCCATCAATCGTGAGACCAAGCGAAGGGACTCTGAAAACGACCTTTTTAATGATAGCGATGGTGACGACGACGATGAGGCCATAAAGCGCCCACGCCGCCAAGGTAGCAAGAGAGATGTCCGCTCTCGTGGTCCGTCTTCTCGTTCTGGGTCCAGGCGCAACTTGCTCACAAGCAATAACATTGATGGCGAAGGACAAGAGGACCCAACAAGCCGTCGAGGGAGCAAGAGAGATGTAGCGTCACGCGGACCTCCTTCACGCTCTGGATCAAAGCGGAACGTGTCTAGCGGCGAGGAGAAAGGCAAAGGGGCGGTTAAGGAAAAAAGCAAGCGTGAGGGCCGCTCTCGAAGCCCCCCTCCGAGGCGCATCATCAGCCTTGACAAAGAAGACGGAGACGAAACGCGTAAGCAAACCTCTGACACACCACGCTCAAGCTCCCGTCGGAATCTGATGAGCGGGGACTCTGCCGAAGATGAATGCCGCCGACGGGAAAATCGAAGGAAAGCCACACGCTCCCCACCTCCGAAATCACTCTCAAAGCGCAACCTAATGAGCGGAGATGACGAAGAAGGCAAAGAAAGACGATCGCCTCCATCACGGAGTGGGTCCCGTCGCAACTTGATGATGGGTGTATGCGAGGAAGCCAACCGGGGATCTCGTGCTGCGCCTGCGAGGGCTGGGTCTCGTAGGAATCTTCTCCTTGGCGTAAAAGATGAGGAGGACGAGAGGCCCCAACGCACTGCTCCTGTACGGGCCGGGTCGCGAAGGAATCTACTCCTGGGCGGAGATGACGAAGACGAGAAGCCGCTACGAAGAAAGGGTGGCCTGCAAGACCGAAGACACAACTCGCGAAGAAATTTGATGGACAACATTGACAAGGATGTTTGCGACGAGGACAATGCCGGGGGACGTCAAGGAACCGGCCCCAGATCGCGCACGGCACGTCGGGACAGACGTGAGTTGATGCGCTCGCAATATGCTGCAGCGGTCCGGTACAACAATGACGATGATGGCAATCGAGACAACTCGGAAGAAGAAGAAGACAAACCTGAAGATGCCGTTGCAGACGACGAAAAGAAAACCGAAGACAAAGACGAGGAAGAGTGCGATTTACCCGACTGCACCAATACCGCTTCTAGCAGCAAAAAATCCATCTTTGGCGCCGCCGTCAAAGTGGCAAGCAAGGCGGCGAAAACCGCGGTGAAAACGACTGTGAAGTCTACCACACAAGTTGCCAATGTGGCAACTGCGGCTGCTACCAAGACAGCTGCTTCTACCGTCAAAAAGGCCGCAAAAACCATCTCCGGCCCCAACCCTCGAAAATCCCAGCATGTATACCTCATGTCAAATGACGAACCTGGCGGAGAAGGACTCGGGGCTTTAGATGACTTGGCTTCTTTGGAATTTGACACGATGAACAGCGGCAATATAATGGACCAGCAGACATCTCAAAACGCCTTGACGGCTTGAACATCAAAACAGGATGTAATTAGAGATGAACAGTAACAGCTTTATTAACGCACAGTCCTAGCGTCCTAGCTACATGTACAGAATGAGTGAGTGGCGCCATCGCATTCCAATGAATACGGTATGCCATCAAGGGAAACTTGAACCACTCTGCTCTCAGTAGCTTAAGAGAAGCACGAGAACTGAATCCTGGAGCTGTGGGCCCGATCCTTGCCAAACAGTGCATTGGATGCTGCGACATGGCCGGGAAGACTGCCTACCCTGCCCGAAGGGCCCTGTACGTACAGACAGCTACCGTGACGTAGCTGCTGGCCGTACATGTAGAGTGTTTACACAAAAGTGGAAAACGGAAGAAAAAAGGATCCGGCATACCGCCCTCCGCGGTATAACTGCGCCGGTACCCGTATCAAGATCTGGAGCTGTCGAATATAGAATGAGTAGTCGTTGCCTCTACCGGTGCCACTCAAGTTGTCAACACGTACATCAGTCCTCACCATAGTAGATAGGCCCACAACCGTCCCACCAGAACCCATCCCTGTCACCAATCCCTTACCAACACCCAGACCCAAAGTTGGTCTGCCCCTGGACTACTCCTGGATACACACCAGGACCAACTAAGCAATTACTGTCCCCACCTGGACCAACTCCAGCCAGAGCAGCCCCTGGACCAACTCCAGCTCCAGGGCCCCCACCATAATCGGGCCCATCACCAGGTTCAGCACGATGCGTTGGCCTGGAGGTTCAGGATCACCTCAAAACCCCCCGTTTTCAACTCCAGGGCCAACTCCAGGGCCCATAGCTCTGGACCAACCGGAGGTACTAACCGGTGCATGCAACTGTACTGGTACGATACCTCAGCAGAACTCAGAATAAGTAAAGGTCCCGGTCCCGTACCCCCACCGGCCACTGGCCGCAGCAGCTCGCAAACCTGCGTTGAGCGGGCATGCATTAGGCGCTCCCCCCAAGCCCAGGAGCCTGGAGACCCTCGAAGCTGGAAGGGGAACTCGAGTGAAAGGTGACAAGTAGACTAGCTAGTGAGGTGATGCGCTGGTGAAACTGGAAATTATGGATGGTGCATGGTGCGGGCCATACTACACGTGTACTATTTGAGTCTGAGAGGCAACGTCAGTAACCTCAGTCGTCAGATTTCGCAAGTGACACATTGTTAGAACTACCTAGGATTTTAAGTCAGCGGGAGCTGCGATACCTCGGCAGAAAGACAGATAGAAGAATGATGACATGTTTGAGATTGCAACCTTCTTTCAAGGTAGCCCTGGCGACAACACCCGACTTCGTTGTGTGTTGCCGCCCGGTATCATTCCTTCATTATAACCTTCTTTTTAATTTAAGCTAGCCCTGGCGACAACACCCAACTTCGTCGTGTGTTGTCGCCCCCTAACCATAACTTTACAGCCGTAACTTTTGTAGCTTCTGCTGGCTTATTGTGTTGAGTGCACTAACCTTGAATAATCATGATTTATTCCTACCTCTAAAATTTGTAGAGTTGGCTTGTGCCTATCTCTATCCCTATATTTTGGCTTCACCGGAACAGGAAACAGGAAACAGGAAGCAGGAAGCAGGAAGCAGGAAGCAGGAAACAGGAAATACCAAAAAAGGGGGTGAGGGCTCAGGCAGATAGACTGCCGAGGTAAAGGTACAGTAGCGGCAGAACGTACAGTACGATATGGCTAGGGTGATTTGTCCCTCACAAATTTTCACTTAGGCTAAGTGCTCGAAAATCCACTTAGGCTAAGTAAAACACTTAGCCTAAGCAATACACTTAGGCTAAGCCATACTAAGCAACTCACTTAGGCTAAGCGAAACACTTAGGCTACGCTATACTAATCAACTCACTTAGGCTAAGCGAAACACTTAGGCTAAGTGATGCTCTCCAAGGCTCCTCAACAGCAGAAGTCTCAAGTATCCTCAACAGCACAAGACAACAAGTCCCTGCAGCAAGCACACACACAGACACAAGGAGACACTATTACCCATCATGCCCCCACTTTCAGCTTCATGTGAACTGCTCAAAGAGCTTCACAAGAAAGAGCTTAATTGAGTTACAACAGAGATTCGAATTCAGGTTGCAACTTCCCTGGAGGATGACACCACTCATACTATTAATCTGGCTTCCACCCTTGGCTATGGTGTGAATAATCCAAAAAACTCAAACAATAGCACAGTCTATTGGCTGCCCAAAGAATTCAACCAAAACTCAAGCATATGGCGCGATTCATTAGACTCCCCCAAGCAAAAGGGATCATTCGACGTCGTACAGGCATTGATTTAGAAAGCTATCAGCTCCGACATCTCAACAAGAAAAATGAGGATTTGATGATGAATATCAAAGCACTCGCAAAAGATACAAACTATAATCCCAACTACATACAAACCCCTGCCGATCGATTGCTACAAAACCTAGAAAAAGATCCTACAGTATCGTTTACAGTTTTGTTTGCCGACTATGACACCAACCTTCTTACCATACGGCAGAGGAGGAAAGTAGTCGCGTGAACTTGAAATGTGAAATAATATCGTGGAAGTCTGAAACTTGACAAGAGATCATCACATTTTCTTCGGTTGTTGATTAATCCTTGTAACTCCAATAATGGAAAAAATTTAACATGATCATTGGTTCGCAATGATGAAAACACACTGTTGATTCGATCGGCAAGACCATGATATACCGTGTTGTAATGTTTAGTTTCTTGCTCCAGTGTGGGAAGATCAGTCAAACCATCCAATTCATCAGAGTACCGCAATTCTTTGTCATCACAAAGGATTACCAAATCAAATCTTTGTTGAATGATAGTTGAAAGTTCATCTGGGACAGTCTCCATTGCTTGTTTCAAAGTATTGTAGAATGAAAAAGCAACACGCTTTGCTCCAAGGCATTTTTTCAATACAGCTCCCAGAACCAAGTAGAGACCACTTGAAATCACATAGCTCGGAACGTCGTTGTTTCCAGGAAGTTGAGTGATATTGTCTGCATTGATAAGGGGAATCTTGTCCAAACAACCAATAACCGTTGGAAAGAAGTTATTTTGGAAATCAATATTGTCGTGATATTCCTGGTTGAACAAGCGTCCGTAATGCGTGGAAGGGTCATAGGCTTGGTGCTCTTGGTAGGGATCAGAATCAAAATGCATAGACCTGTAGATGCTGTGATATTTTCTTGTTTCCGCTTTCTGTCATGCTGTTTTGTGTGCTCACATTGCTTCTCTTTCTTCGGAGTCAACAACTGCTCCTATGACATGGTCAATCTCAGACCTAAGCTCAGACTCAATCAAACCATCCTCGCCAACACTATTGTTGGTGTTGGTAGCATTGGCATTGTTGGATGCACCATTGGCCTGTCCTTGTAAGGGTGGAAGCTCATGGTCGTGATTTGTTTCCATCCTTAACAGTTTTTATATTGACATATCTCAGAGGCAGAGTTTTCCCAGTGCCTTTGAAAAAATGAAATCTGACAGATTATGAGCTGAGAAGCTGCCACGAAAAGCATCACTTAGGCTAAGTGAATCACTTAGCCTAAGTGAATCACTTAGGCTAAGTGAATCAAATGTGACTGACTACCTGCTAAATCAAATAAGACTGAATTTCACTTAGGCTAAGTGAGCCACTTAGCCTAAGTAAATCAAATTGAATCACTTAGCCTAAGTGAAAATTCAATCACTTAGCCTAAGTGAAAATTTGTGAGGGACAAATCACGCTACCCATCCAGTACTTATACTCAGTAGTATATTAGATAGATGTAGTCTCAGTAACTTTTAATATTTACTGCTATTTATTAAGAGTGCGTTGTATTTTCGTACTTAGGGAGTGCTTGGGCAGGCTCGCTGTAGATTCAAATAATGACTTATTGGGGCGAGCTTCACCCGAATCCAGCATTACTGAGTATTCTTTTTGCAAGGGGGGGTTGCATGAAGTTGTACTCAAAAATTTTATAGTGGCTTCCTTTGTAGTTCTTGGTGGTTACTCCTCTATTTAAAGCCTACTCGGAGTGTTTGCTTTAACAGGCTCGCTGAACGCTGAAGCTACGCTGAACGGTAAGAAAGAACCACCTCAGAAGGTCAGAAGGAAGAAGGATCCCCTATGTGGTGATAGCAAAAGCACCGAAGACCGAAGCGAGCTATTTATTTATTTTACTCCAAAAAAGGAGGGCTCGAGTACAGTATAACGACCACACGACCACCATGGTTTTCCTCAAAATCGGAACAACAGTCTCCATCTCCGACGCGACAATGAGCGATCAGCCCGATGAGGGAAAAGTGGAGACTACTACTGATGGTGGGAGTAGTCGGCAAGAGGCTGCTAATAAGTATGGAAGCGGAATACGAGACTTGACAGCAACTTTGAGCGCTGCGAACCCCAAGAGAGCACACAGTGGGCTGGCACAGCTGACGTCGAGTGTCACCAGTGCGGAAAGTATCAGCACGTCTGCTGCCGTCGACGGAGCCATCCCTGATATGGTGGAGAATTGTTTCCATATTTTGAAGGACGGCCAAAAACACCAGGATGCTGGGACGAGTTTGTTGGATAAAGTCAAGGAAAACGCCGAGCGCCACAGACAGACCAAGAAACTAGCCACGGAAGCGGGCAAGAAAGACGACGAAGCTCACCCTGCCGCTGAAGAAAAAGAAGACTTGGAACCAAACTCGGGGGAGACGATTTTGGGTCTGTTCGCTGCAGATCAGACTCCCTGTCCACAACAACGGTCCTCCCATGGCAAGACATCTTACGTGGATATGCTCTCAGGCGGTGATATTGATTCTGATTCGGACTACGAATCAGATGATATGGACATGTCCCGAAAAATGAAGGACCTCCTCATGAGCACATCCACTGGTGAGCATGTCACACAGCGTCACTCTGCCTCGGGCGTGCATAAAATGCCTGGCCATATCCACGATGACAACTGCAAATCTTCCTGCGATAAGATTCCGCGTCGTGGCTTGGATCGAGCCAGAAGTGAACGCATGAATAATGGCAGCGGAAGAACCAAAAATAATGTCAAATTGAAGCGAAACAAGAGCACGGAGGATTGCACGCCAAAACCATCCGGTTTGACCAGGGCTGTTTCTACGGGATCGCATGAGTTGGAGGGCCATCGGCGAGGCGTCAATCGCACAAAGAGTGGACGAAAAGCGCGTCCACACTGTCCCAGGGACGATGAAGGGGCCAAACCCACTTCCTTGAATCGTACGTCGTCGACGGGGTCGCCATCCGGATCTCCAACACGGGTGGAACGCGTCAAGAGCTCCCGCAATGTCTCGCGAAGTCCCAGGCGTGTCAGGAGCTCGGGCGATGGTGAGACAGATGGAAGTCCTCCCCAGCCACCTGCCATGAAACGAAACCTTTCCACCGGAAGTACAGGTTCGGGAGAACCAAAACAACGCTCCAGTCACAGAAGCCCCAGGCGTTCCAAGACCTCGGGCGATGGTGAGATGGCTGGAAGTTCTCCTCAACCACCTGCCATGAAACGAAATGTTTCCACCGGTAGCACGGGGTCGGGCGAACGAAAACAGCGGTCCAGTACTGGAGGAACTTCTCGACTCTCTCCCACTCGTTCACCTCGGAAAAAGGGAGAGCTAGACTCTGCCACGGAGCACTCTCCCAGACGCCGCGGGGAACCGAGCAGGGGTCTCATCAGGAATGATAGTAGCAGCAGTGTTGGAAGCGCTGCCAAGAGACAATCGCGGAGTAACAAGCTCCGCCCCATGCTAGGTAGGTCTGACTCGGAAGGCAGCGCTGGTGGCAGCGGCAGGAAGAGCCCCACCCGCGTGACCAGTTGTAACGACAGGGACTTGAGCCCTGGCAACAGCGGCAGTGCGATCAACGACCCCGATCGTCGCAGAGCTCGTGACATGAGGATGGTCCGAGCGAGTAGTCAACGCAATCTCAGCCCCTCGCGCAAACCAGAGGATTTAGCAGGTCAATCGGAAGGAAGAGTTCGAGACTTGAGGTTGGCACGTGAAATGAGCAAACGTAGCTTGAGTCCTCAGCGCAGAGCGGAAGATTTGGAGGAAATGCCGGCTATACCCATGCCCGGTGCCTTGTCCAGAGGTGTGTCCGCGGGAAACGCAGCAGCGGTAAGGCGAGCACCTTTGGATGCAAGTGGCGAGGAGGCGCTGCAGAGCATGAACATACGCCCACGAGTGCCGAGACCAGGCATGACACGAAGTCTGAGTGAAAAGGCCATGAATCGCCGCCAGGTGAAACCTTCCTCTGATCTCCTTGCGTCTCATTCCGGGATGGCAGCCGAAAAATCTGATGGCAACAGCTCTGGCGAAAGTCCCATGGGAAGCCCAACTTCCAATAGGAAAACACGTGGAGACGACGGAGAGGGGCGTGGTGGTTCGGGGAGGCCAATGCGAAGGGTCAAATCTTCTGGTTCTGGGGATGAGATGACTCGATCTGCCCATGGCCATCGTCGCAAACCGCGAAGGAAACCAACAGACGACGGGCACGATCATGATCTCTCTCCAGATGAGCCTCGTCGGAAACCGAGAAGGAAACCAACAGACGATGGACCCGATCCCGACCACTCCCCTGACGAACGGCCTCGTCGCAGGCCGGAAGACAGGGAGAGAAGGAGAAGACCGCGACAGGGCGAACCGCAAAGTCGGAGCAATTCGCCAACGCGAACCCATCAAAAAAGCAGAGGCAACGTCAACAGAGGTAAAAACCACCAATTTGACATTGCAAAGAATCAATATGCAAACATGGTAAAGCTAGCGGACGAGAAAGCGCGTGAGCAGGAAGAAGAGGAGGAAAAGGAAAGGAGGAGACAGGAGGAGGAAGAAGAAGAAAGAAGGCTCCAAGCCTTGGAGGAGGCTGCGGCGTTGGCAGAGGCAGAAGCTGAGGAAGAGGCGAGGAGGAAGAAGAAGGGTTTTGCTGGTGTCGCCAAATTCGCCGTCATGACTGCAAAAATGACAGCCAGTGTTGCGACAACTGCCGCAACGACAGGCGTGAATTTGGCATCAACCGCTGCGACGACGAGTGTGAATTTAGCATCAACTGCTGCGACGACGAGTGTGACTGTTGCAACAACAGCAGCGGGTGCTGCCACTCAGACCGCTTCTTCCACGGCCAAACTCGGTTTTTCCACTGTCAAGGGTGCCGTCAACGCTGTCAGCGCTGTATCGGACCTGGGAAGAAGCAGCCATCACGTCAAGGCTGTGAAATATGACTTGGGCTCGGAAACACATTCCCTCAAAGAATCCGAGACCGATCGTAAGTTGATGCCGGCTCCATCCATGTCTGCATTGGCGGGTGGAGTTCTAGGAGGTTCTTCATCAGCATTTATGACTGATGACAGTTTCGCCGCGGACGACGACGATGGTGCTATTGACTAGAGGAAATGCCCGCATGGCGAACTCTTCGTAAGCTTTTAGAAAGCAACCTTAATGTTGAACACAGTAACGAGACCGTACTAGGAAGAGTGCATTCGTGTAATTTGGACTTGCTATTGACATTTTGGCATGCCCTTGGTATCTATCTTCTGCCGGTACCGGTAGGAACTCAGCAGGAACAATCGCAACCGCAAAACAATTCAGAGCAATCGAAAGACAATCGAAAGATAGTCCAGACAACACGCATGGATTGAAGGTAGTGGGCATGCATGTGCCATTCATGCACCTAGGTCCTGTTCGTGAAACATACTTGAACAACAAAGAACATTCCAAATCCGCTTCAGTACAAGGGCTTTGGTGATTGTGCTGCATCTCTGTATCGAGAATCCGGTTTGGCCGGTCTCTACAAGGAGACCACATTGACGTTGATGGTAAGACATTCCCGGATGCATGGTCCATTTTGGGGTCTTTGCACTTGGACTGTTTCTATCAGTGCCTTGATTGTGGGGTGGGTCACTGGCCGGTATCAGCTTTTGGCCCATCATTTTACCCATGGATTGTTTGAAATCACGATATCAGACGGCTCCCGAAGGCACCTATCAAAACATTGGACAGGTACGATGTATGGTCCACTCTCATGGGCGATGTTGGTCTGGCAGGTCTGTTCTATGGAATGGGACCCGCCATGATTCGGCCAATGCCATTATTTTCTTATGAGCCGAGTTGACCAATAAGGCATGTGCTGGGGCTTCTAGCTAGGTACCGATCCTTCCGGTATGGTAGGAAGTACCTAATACATGTAGTTTGTGCTCTTTAACCTGATCTTTGTGTATTATAAGACAACAAATACTACTAGAATATGGACCAATTCCTCGGATCATTGCACAATGCAAAGCAAATCTGTTTGAATATTTAGTGGGCCCTGTGCCTTTTCAGAGAGTTACATTGAAGCATTCAATTCGCGACCTTCACAATGTCATAAATGACGTTGATATAGTAGTGTCCGTCATTGTGAGATCCAGGGCAGCCATTGTCGCGTAGCCACTGGATCATGCTGATGTCCTTAGACATGCAGGCAGCTTGAAATGTCTGTTCGCTCCATGGACAACCATTTTCATGAGCCCACTTTAAAAGTTCCAAGTGTCCACCTTCAGCAGCATCGGCACATGTCCGTTCATTCCATGGACAACCATTTGCACAAGCCCACTTTAAAAGTTCCAAATGTCCAGATCGAGCAGCACGGGCACGGGCACATGTCATTTCATTCCATGGACAACCATTTTCACGAGCCCACTTCAAGATTTTCAAATGACCATTGTGAGCAGCAATCCGGCAGATGTCCTCATTCCATGGACAACCATTTTCATGAGCCCACTTCAAATTTCCAAATGTCCATGTTCAGCAGCGTAGTGACATGTCCCCTCATTCCATGGACACCCATTTTGATGAGCCCACTTTAATATTTCCAAATGTCCACCTTGAGCAGCATAGACACATGTCCATACATTCCACAGACAACCATTTTCACGAGCCCACTTTAAAAGTTCCAAATGTCCGCCTTGAGCAGCCATGTTGCATGTCTGCTCATTCCATGGACACCCATTTTGACGAGCCCACTTTAAAAGTTCCAAGTGTCCATATTGAGCAGCACTGGCACATACCCCTGCATGCCATGGACACCCATTTTCTTGAGCCCACTTCAAAATTTCCAAATGTCCATTTTGAGCAGCACTGACACATGTATCTTCATCCCATGGACAACCATTTTCACTGTATCTTCATCCCATGGACAACCATTTTCACGAGCCCGCTTCAAAATTTCCAAATGGCCATTTTGAGCAGCACCTGAGCATGTGTCTTCACCCCATGGACAACCATTCGCTCTTAACCATTGGAGCACTTCCAAATGTCCATTTTTAGTGGCTCCAGCACATGTCCACTCATTCCAAGGGAATCCTTGTTGGCATGCCCACTGCAGGACAGAAAGAGTTCCAATTTTAGCAATGACAGTGCAAACAAGACGATGATGGGGATTCTTATTGCTGGCATTGTCCTTGAGCCAGAATTCTGCACGGGGCTGATTACAGAATGTTTCGCTGCAGAGAGTGTCGGTGATTTCTGCAGAGGGCGTCCATATTAAAAGTAGAATACGGGCGCGTTCCCAGGCTGTAGGTTACCCTTCTTGGATTTCTGTTGAGTTCAACTTTGCAGTACTCTTTGTACAGTTGATTCATCTTTTGGTTGACAGCCCCCACGAAAGCGTACTGTCCAGCACCAACAAGCGGCAGCCTTGGATCCAAATCAAGTCGTCAGCAAACAGAAGAGAATCGAAGGGAGGAGACATCTTCTGTTTCTTATTGTTGTTTGCAGTGCTATTATCATTAGTACCAGTTGCAGTATTCATGGTGCGGTTACATATTAGTATAGCAGTGGCTGCAGTGGTTGGAGTAGTGTGGATTCTGTGATGAGTGTGGAGCGAATTCTCTTGGAGCTCCACAATCCGTAGTATCCTGATCCCTATTTTTCAGTCATTCTCGCGCCGGCTCCCTCCAAGAAAGAAAAGAGCAACGGGAAATCTGGTCGAAGGCGAAAGATCTCTTCGTAGGTGAACCCAAGGAAGTCATTGACGACCATGGCCTTAGATCTTTTCTTTGCCAGGTAGCTACCGTCGTCGCGATCATACGTACAGCACCCGCACCTCACAAGTAGCTTCCTCAATAGAGTGCTATTAGTGGAATCGAATCTGACAATGGTTTCATCCAAGATACTCCTCGTCCTTGCATGTTTAATCTCTCTGCTATCGGTGGTATGTGGGAAAGATAAGACTCCCAACTTTGGCGAATTGGGGTGTAGTGGGTGCAGCGAACCAGGTCACTTTTGTGGAATTGATGGCAACTGCCACATCTTCTCTTGCCAGAACTACTATCAATATGCCGACCGCAAGTTGACGGGCTATGCCGACAACACGACCTTTCAGTGCTTTGGCTATACCCAAGGAGACCAAGAAAACGCCCATGGTGTTATCTACGGATGTGACCCTCTTTACCCCTTGGTCAAAATGACACCCGGCAAACAGGTCACCGAGCCCTTTAACCGAAAATGTAGTGCCGAACGAGAGGGTGGCTATCTGTTTGAATGCTACGAGTTCCAGCCGAGTGAAACCGCCACGGACTTTACCTTTTTCGAACGAGAAGCCGAGTCTTCCTTTCCCGACTGCAAGGGAGGCAAACAGCCCAAATACTATTACATTATTGCCAGCAGCAATCACTACGTTGGATTCGAGGGATTGCAAGGGAATCCCATTGTGGCCGGCGGCGCCGACATTGACGGAGATACCCTTTGGCAAGTCAATGAGATGCGAAGCTTCAAGAGAGACATTGCCATGATGTCCATGTATGCCAACGTTGTGGGAGGGCCCAGTCCTCCCTCGCAAGTAAAACCCATTCAAGCTGGATCGATTGGGAAAAATCCATTGAGAAACCAGAGACCTGGAAATCACGGGGGACCGCCGGAAAACGCAGCCACTTTGTCGTTCAGCGGCAGGAATGCGGCTCTTGCCCTGGGGTTTGGTACGCTTCTCCAGTGGTTGCTTCTTTGAGGAGAGAGTACGTTACGGCATGGAATGGCATTAGGTTTCACAATGAACAAAACAATTTCTAAGCTTAGATAAAAGAATTAGGATGCATGATTTCAAAAGGATGCATGATCAACTAGCTAGATGAGCGTACAAAGTATGTACGGCTGTGAAAGGATTGGAAGCGAGAGCTAGGTAACACTCTCCTTTGCCCGGGAGCGAACACAGGGTCTCATTGAAAAATCAGAGTCCTCTACTACAAGCTAGCTCGTTGGTAGCTGCAAAGGTCAGCCACTGCATACCGGTACATACATACACACACAGATTCGCTATTGTCAGCAGTCAGCTGAAGAAGTTTTGCAGCTGCATGTTTCCAGGCAGACAAGTCTCCACCCTGATGCTGGATCCAAAATTGCCGACGCCACGCGAGCTGCCCGTAAGCGGACACAACGATGCACCCGTCAACGACGACCAACGAGGTAGCGTCACGTTTCTAACCGACTAACCATCCAGTCAGGAGCTAGTAGAGGAGGGGATACCAGATCCTTGCTCTCAATAATTGTGTGTCGTTGCTCTTTGTTCTGTGGAAATGAAGTGACTTGAATTCGGAAGGTGTGCTGGCTAGTTTAGTAGTGCTATCTATTGCACATGTAGATATACAAAACCGGTGATAAGCGCCGTGGATACAATAATAGTCAATCTATCAACTTATATATCGTCTTTCTCTGAGCAAGCAACCCTCTGACCTGCCGACTTTTTCTTCTATGGATTGTCGTTTAGCAAGTCGAGGTTGCTTATCACTACTGAATCGTTGTCATTCATTCATTCATTGGTTCATGCATGCAACTAAATTAGAGCCCTCCATTTCGCATGAAATGAGACACCAAATCGTCCAGGTATCCACCTTTGATGGCCCAGACAATTTCTTGCGAAGTAAACGGAACGGCATCAGCAGTGCCCGTGTTGAGACCACCATTTTTCACAAAGTGGGACACCAAATCGTCCAGGTACCCGTCACGGAGCGCCCAACCAACTTCTTGTGGAGTGAAAGGCACGACACCAGGATTGCTGTTGATCTGCAGCAACATGGAAATGCATGTGAGCACAAAAAAGGTGACGGGAAGAGCTCCAAACATGGCTTGTTGGCGGGTTCTATAATATATACAGAGAAGATGACCAGGTGTGTGAGTGATTAGGCAATGACAAAAGCAAACATACATTCCAACCGCCATCGTCTTGATTCAGACTCGACTTACGTCAATCCATGTCTTCCACTTTCAGCGTTGACGCGCAATCGGGAGACAATTTCGGCCGCAGCCTGTTGATCTTCACAGATATCTTGTCCCGCCACGGTTCCACTGGCACAAGCCACTTGGATATTGAGCACGTCATGCAAATGTTGTTGGGATTCTTCCACAGAGCAGGTATCCGAAAAGGCACATTCTCGTGCTTTGGCCATGAGATAATGGGCTTCTTGTTCCGTTAGAGATGACATGCTGGAATGGAGTTGGGTCTTGGTGCTTCTTTGCGCGAGTCCTCCGGCAGAAAAAGCAGAGGAGCTACCGGCCATGGCGGCAATGACAAGGAGACAACGGGTCAATGGAGTCATTGTTTCAGTTTGTTTATTTGCCTTTGTTTCTTTTACTGTCCTTTATGGCTGGATACCGGTAGCGTTTGAGTAGCTTCTTTGGTTTTTTCTGCTCCGAGCAAGTTTTGTGATGGGTAAGATACATCGAAGGTCGGTTCCCATGATCGAGAAGGCGAGAACGGAGAAACGACCACGGAAGAGAATGGAAGCAAGGAATGTAGAGGAGCAGCTGCTTATTTGACAGCTTGTGACAGCAAAGGTTCGCTCCGAGAAACAATGACGCAACGAAAGAACAGCAGAGCTATTAAAAAGCCGGTTGCCAAGTGCGTCCGGTCACTTTTGATGCCAGCGGAGCTGTGATGATACCATGGCAAGGGGACACCAACATGTCATGTACCGGTGGTACCAGTACCATCGTTGCTTCTACAAGCTGGTGGGAAGTGGGAAGATGAGGGGAACACTGGGGATGCTTTTGCTTGCTATCGGTACTTGGGCGGCGTGGGGATGAATGGATCGGTAGACCGGAGAGCAACATAATCTACTAGCTAGGTGATTGAATTGTCTAAAGAAGCTTCTAAAGATGAGTTACGAGTATTCCTTTACGAATTTCTCATGGTGCTTTGCAAACAGATCGACAGCCTTGACTGTGTCTGGATGCAAGAATGTTGTCCGGAAGCCCACTCGTCCCTTGGCCTGCCCAAATCCAGATGCGGGAACCACACAGATTCCTGTCTCTTGCAACAGGCTAAGGGCATACAAATTGTCGGGTGTTGTGCCCATTTCCTTGGCTCTTTCAACGGCCTTTGGTGGCACTTGTATGCTGGGGAACGCGTACATGGCGGCTTCGGCCGGGACGCACGAGATTCCTTCTATCTTATTCAAACCTTCGACCAACTTTCTCGACCGTTCTTTCATGCCTTCGAAGATTGTGGTTGTTTCCTTTCGGAACAGTTCGTACGATTCGTCTTCAGGAAGCGGTGGCTTGACCATGAGAGAGGTCATGATCTGACCGACGACACCACTGCAAAGCTCAGAACTCGCCAATTTGTAGAGCTGTGATTGCACGTAGGGGTCAATGTGATGCATCTCCATGTAGCCACCTCGTCGTCCACACTCCCCAATCAAACCTTTGGAGGTGGAGTGGAAACTCACCAACTGCAAATCACGCAACCGAGCATCCAGAGCCACCTTTTTGGCACTGACAAACTGGGCACTGTCCCCATAAACATTAGCCTGGTACACTTCGTCGGCCAACAAAACAATGCCATGCTCGGCGCAAAATTCGGCTACAGTCTGGATGTCACAATGAGTCATGAGGTTACCAGACGGATTGCCTGGATTGATCATGGCCAAAGCCTTCACTTCAAGTCCTTCCTTCTTCGCTTTGGCAAGTTTGCTGTCCAGCTCTTCTCTCGTCACGGCCCAGTTTAGACTTTCATCCATATTGTATCCGATTTGGCGGCCACCGAGTTTGGCAATCAACGCTGAATAGATGGGATACTGTGGGATGGGGATCATGACTGCATCATTGTTGTTGGCCATGAGTCCCTGCAGGACCATGGCAATTCCAGCCGAGGCTCCGTTGGTCAAGAAAATATCACCCGGATAACTAGGATATCCATCCCGTGCTTCAATAAACTTGGCCACATGCTTTCGCAAACCCAAAATTCCTTGCGAATGGGTATACGCACCCGTGCCAGAAGGACCAATAATGTCTCGGTATTCGTTGGCCCGAGCAATGACATCGGCGGGGAACATTTCATGCGCTTTTGGGTGATCCACACCGCATTCCGCTGGCAAGTCGCAGAGTGCCAAGACTTGGCGATAATACTTACGAAGAAAGACATGCCGTGAGGAAAGTTGATGCCGGTACTGCAGTTTCCCTTTTGGAAAGCACAGAGGTACGTGGAAGGCAAACGGTACGGCTGCTGAAAAGCAAACTTACGGTGATAGGCGACTGTCCCACTTGATGCGGGTTCCCAATGTTGGTGTAAAGAATCTCGCGTCCTTCAGCTGCTAGTTTGTCGGCAAGCATTGCGACCTGTTGTTCAGGTAATGAGTATTATGGGTGAGGAAAAAATGGAAAGTTAGCCAACACAGCACAGCATAACCTGCTAAAAAGAAGTTCAATGCAATTTCAAAAACTAACCTCTCCACGGACGGCATACTGCATCCTTCGCAAGGATTGGCTCATAGTTTCCTCATTCCATGTATAGTTTGCCGGTTCTTCATCGTCAAATGCATGCAGTCCTTGGTGAGGTAGCTGGTTGAAAAATCGTTCGCCCACTTCCGGATTTTGCATGAGATAGGCCATAACTCGCGAATTCTTCATATCCGCCGACATTTTGGTGGCGGCGACCAACCACTTTTTGAAATGACGAAGATCATACTGCACCCCCGCGGCGGCCCGTTGTTCGAGTCGATTCCATGCATAAGGCATGATTTCTTTGGGATCTTCATCGCCCATGACCTCAATCATGAAGGATTTCAAGTCCTCGGGATCGACGGCGCCATTCTCATCCAGATCAATGGCTTCAAACAATGCGTTGGCCCCACGACCTGTGGAGAGATAAATTTCCCAGAGTTGCTTCTTGACAGCCAGCAACTTTTCCGCCTGGGCAGCAGCCACTGCCGCCATGGGGTCGACTTCTTTGGCTTCTTCCTTGGGCGCCTCAGAGAAGAAACGCGTGCTACCAATGGTACGGGGCACGTTGGGACGGTGGACAGCTGAACTTGCCACTCGCAGAAAAGTTGCACTTCGTCCAGGGGTCTGCAAAAGCAGGCGTCGGCAGGCAGATTGAAACATCCTTCTTGACTCTGGCAATGACCAACCGTACTACTTTCTGATGAATGAAAACAATGAGAATTCTAGCTAGAGGTAGAGGTACTTTAGCAACAGTGTTGCTCAGAATTCATGCAGTAGAAGAAAAGAACAAATGAATAAAGGTCTCTTTTTGACACTCTATCGGACAACTCCACTCCCTTGGTGTCTTCCTCCTATCGACGCTCCTTTGTTGTCAGCTGGGTATCACCCTAGCTAGCGGCGTTGACTTGCATCACTCATCGTCACCACCAAAAAAAGAGGTTGGAGTGGAGTAAGGGTGACGTTGCAATGGAATCTTTCTCAAAAAGAACATTCATATGCCCCCTGGGTCGTCTCCGTTTCCAGTACTAGTTTAACTTGTCTACTAATACAGGATAATGGTGAATAGAATCGAATGAATCATGTGGCTTATATTTAGGGTTTAGGTTTTGCGGCAATTTTGAAGTCAACGTGTGTTAAGTGGAGGGTTTGGCTCGCTTCCGCTGGGAGCTTGGCGTCTTCTTTTTCTCTGCTTCCGCTTCTTCGGAACTGGGGTTTCGTATAGGATCGTGAGCAAGTTCGGCAGCTTTCTTCATACCTTTGGAGTGTCATCATTCTGACAGTCAGGTGATACTTTGGCCGACGTGGTTCGTGGAACAGGTGGACGGAGAAGACGTATTGGTTGCATTGGAACTGGAAATGATTTGCGAATATTATTGGGAGGTCCAGTATATGAGGATTTGAAAGTTGAGGGCACGGGGGATTTTATACGTTAAGCTATGTAGGAGACTACCACCGTTCTCTCTGCTGAGTCTTTTCGAGAAGAGTCCAGAAGGCCTCAAAGTTCATGCCGGGGGGTAGTTCAAAACCATGGGAAGTGCCAGTGTGGCAGCTCTGAAGGCGAA